ACAACGTCCCTTCAACAACCCCCTCGCGTCCTCACCGGCCAGCTACCACGCGGCGGGGGGGGCCCCCGTGGGTCGCTACGTAGTCCCCCTCGAAAGCGAGCCGACCCTTCCGAGCACCCCGACACCTACCTCCGTCCGCAGCTCCCAACAAGTTCCACATTCCGCGCGCCTCCAACGGCTCCTCTTCTGCCGAGTAGCGCCGTTGACCCAGCACCCCCGAAACGAGCATCGGAACCTACACGACCAAATCTCTCCGACCGGTTACGAGAACCGAACGAACCTGTTACGACCGTCCGATATGGGTTGGCGTTCGACGCCGCTCGTTGTCTACGTCGAACGTGAAACTCGTCGCGTTCGCAGCGCGCCGGGATTGCGACAGCTCAGGTCGACATATATTCTTCTCGGAAGAGAAGAGGACGGCGTCGGTCGCCACTGTGAAAGCGAGAGCGCAAGTTTCTTGTCGTCGATGCCGGTGAGCTCGGCTGTACGTCGGAGCGGCGCTGCAGTTGGTTGGGGGAGACGGGGGGCATGATGGCGTTCGACCCGAGAACAGAGGCGGGTCGAGCACTGTGAGGCTGCCGTGAGGGCGTGGAGGCCGTGTCGGAGCCGGTACTCGGACGTCTTGGCTGGGGTGGTAGAGGGAGATGGAGCATTGTGAAGATGACAAAGGATCAACGTCTGAGATGGAGAGTACGAGGGCGGTTTGGAAGCTCAAGAAGTGTCGTCGACGGGATGCCTGGAGGAGGAGGATGGGGTTGTGGCGGCGCGCCGGGCGATGGTGATCACCTGAGCAGATGTGCCGTTGGTCTGTACGAGCGCACGAATCGTGCTGATGCTGACATGGGGACGGGACTGCGCGGGGTCGGGTGCGGCTGGCGTCTACCGTTTGGTCGGCGTGGATCCGATCGGACGGTTGCAGGCTGCTGTGGATGGACAACGCAGGCATTTCTGCCGCTTATACTCAGCCATAGCATAAGGACGAATTTGAAGCTTGTTTTACTCAGGTTCTGTTCCTCGTAACAAGGAGCTAAAGTACGTGCTTTATCATAACTACACTATGTGCGACAGCAGGTCCGCGAGTACTGCTGTTTCGCTTTAGTAGGTTAGTGCAATCAGAAAATCTCTCTCTTGTGGAGGGGTGGATGGACAACGGCAGGCATTTCTGCCCTTATATCAGCCATAGCATAGGAGCGAATTTGAAGCTTGTTTTACCTCAGGAGTTTGATTTTCCTCGTAAAAGGGCTAAAGTACGTGCTTGATATATAACTACATATGTGGCGACAGCAGGGTCCGCTGAGTATGTGTTTCGTAGGTTAGGTTTTGCAATTCAGAAAGGATTAGCGACGCAACTTGTTGCCCGCTTGTCATCATCACATGTGTAATATTTTTATAATAATTATTTTACAAATAAAAAAATTTGAAAAAAAAAACTTCAAATAGCGTGGCGGGAAAGAAAATGTTAGCAAGCAAGAGCCTGTTGTTCTCCCAAACAAGAAAATGTTGGCGTAGCGGAGACGACAAATATTCAACCAGAAAACTAGTGGGGGTGACCTTTGTATCGTGGCAATTACTGAGTTTTAAGTGGACGATTATGATTTTTTCAAGTACAAACTTGGGGCTAGTGAAATTCATAGAGGTATGCATGGTGAGTGTTAGCTTAGAGTGGGTCATATTAGCAAAGTCATATTTTAATTAGATCTTTTTATCAATATGACATTTGAAGTAGGCCACTCAATATTAAGATATTGTAAATGAGTTAAAGATGCAACAATATCCAAATTTTTATCGGCGACTAATTCTCTAGCAAAGATATTGGTCTTCTTCTTCTTCTTCTTCTTTTTATTTGGCTAGGAAATTTCTTCTACTGCTCTGGCCTCTCCAAATTATTGAATAAATATCTAATCTAGCATAATGTGGCAAAAGAGATATCATTTATGTGAAATTAACCGTTTAAAAAGTTTCCTCTTTTCTATCCACACTCTATCTAGGATTTTGGCTAAGTTTAAGGGTCGATGGGAGCTTTTGAAGGGAGAAGTGGGGAGGAAATTGAGAGGAATCAGAGAGGAGATGGTGACAATGGTGCAGGTCATTGATGGTAATGGGCCAAGGGAAAGGAGGGAGAATACGAGGAGTTGATGATAGAGTGTGGATTGAGAAAAAAAATAAACATTTTAAAAGGGTCATTTCGCACAAACCTTCTATCATTAGGTGTAAATTCAATGATTTTGAGAGATCAGGGGTAGAAGTAAAACTTTCCAGTAAAAAGTAGTAGTTCTTTGTCATAAAATTACCAGTTGACGGAATTTTATGTTTTGTTGCACACTTAGCTCATTTAAAATGCCTTAATGTAGAGTTACATATTTAAAATTTAGATTAATTTTAGAACCCCCCAAACTAAGAGGGTTGTCTCATAAAACCCCCCTCAGCTATTTTAACTTTTAAAACTTCCCATCAATTATGGAGTTGTTTTAGATAACCCCCTCAATTCTCAAAATATTATTTATACCCCCCAACTTTTCTCACTTTACCTCCTAAAACTAATATAATTTAAATCTAGAGGAACAATTGATCTAAATGACCACATTATCCCTAAGACATTTAAATTTTTTAACCATATTGTTCATTTTTTACTTTTTTGGTTAAAAATAACTTTCATTTTATTTTCTCCCACTTCGTATTCCTCCATCTTTATTGCTAGGCTTACGTGCAAATCTTTTTTTTTTCCCTTTCTATTTTGAAACACTAAAGTTCTTTTTTATTTTCTGCTTATCCATACTCGTAATGTTTGAAACAATTAGAAGTTTTAAATTACTTTTGAAGATTAGTTTCCTCATCAAAACCTATCGAACCGAAGTCTAATATTTTGATGGGGTTAGGTTTTTTAACTCACATGAATTTTTTTTCAACTAAGGTTATTTTAGTCATTGCATATATCAAATTAATAACATTAGGGGGTTACTGGAAAAAAAACTAGAAAGATAAAGGGGGTTTTGTGATACACCTCATAGTTAAGGGGAGTTTAGTCATATTTTAAAAGCCAAGAGGGTTTATCTACAACACCTCAAATTTGAGGAGGGTTTTCTAAAGATGAAATAACTAAAGGGGATTTTCTGAGACAAGCCCCAACGTTGAGGGGGGTTTTCTAAAATTAAACCCTTAAAATTTCCTAGTGGTAAAATGGGTCTAACTAAAATGTCAATCCGCTAATTTAGCTATTTAGAATGAATCACAATCATCCACCGGATAATCAAATGTGAAAAAAAAAATAGTAGTCTCCCCAACTTCATATGCTATTTTTTCATCGGATTCTTAAAGTTTTACGCTTCTACCTTCCTTTGGATATGATTTTGTTTGACTTTTCTAAAAAAAATCCACCAGAGAGGGGTTCGCAGTTTTCTTCTACCCCTCACGTTATCTCAAAACGAAGCGCACGTATATGCTTGATAATAAATTCTAGCAAATAACAGGCTACAGTCATTTGGAAAATATTCAAGTACTTGAGAGGCTCTGAGTTCAGCTTTATTTGCTTTAGGGTTTTCATATAGCATTTCAGATCATTGAATCCTGTATAAAATACATAGAGTGAATGAATGTTGATATTTAAGATGTCAAATATAAATGTTGGTCTTTGATATTTTCTGAAGGATAATGAATACTCACAAACTAAGCTGTTGATCAGAATTGATACTTGCAAGGCAGAAACACTAGTAAGTTTTTAAAGAGAGAGAGAGAGAGAGAGAGAGAGAGAGAGAGAGGAAATTATGTACATTGATTCAAAGCTAGTGGAAACTAGAAACGTTCTTAATCTAACAAATTATTCAAGAAAAAAGAAAAAAAGTGCTGCTTCTCCCCTCAATTTCTCACGGCAACCTTGAAATGTAATCTTGGGGATCCCTGGGAAGAAACACAGGGAGCTGCTGAGATCCCCTCCCACTCTCTCCTCCTCCTCCTGCTCCATTTTGCCGCTGTAAACTCCGGTCAGTGCCTCCACCAAGGAGAGGACCGCCGAAAAATATCGACTGCCCAGTATACAATAGCTCGGTCTGATTTCCAACCCTAACCCTAGACGATGACGCAGAATTGTTCTGGGATGACACAAACCGGCCAGCTTCCTGATCCCAATAAACCGATGAACTCAAATTACTCATTGTATTCGCAACGCTCCTCAATCTAGCATCAGGTTCTTCCCCATCGTTGGTTCTCACCGACCAAGGAGAACGACTCGCTGACGTCTGATATATTGGGTTGAAAAGCCGTTGATCCGATGCAGAAATTAGGGCGCTAGGATGACGAGGACTGCTTAAAGTGCTCGGCGTCTGTGGATAAGGGCTCCTCAAGGGAGAAGATCGCTGTGTTCCCGCTCGAGTATCCCCGTGGGACCCAATATCTGCAGTTGCGCTGCTTCGGCTGCTGGCGTTTCCAGTGGAGTAATGATCGGTGTCATAATTAGCTCGAGAGCCAATAGGTCTCAACACCGAAGAAGATGCTCTTGCTTTTGCTGCAGCCTTAACGGCTTCATTTGAATCGAGCTTCGCGAGTTTCCAGGCACTGATGCGAACTGGTCGTTTTGGTTGTTTCTTCCCTCCTCTGAATGGATTGACGGCGTCAGGGTCTACAGTTGAAGGGACTCGGTTTGGTTCCAAGTGTGGGATTATCTCGTCCTGCAGTATAGGCAACTTGGATGTACACACGAGAGTCAGTGAGATGGCGAGATTTTCAGTTGGGTATTTTCAGTATTAGTCTCTTACATCTTTCATATTTTGAAATTAGTCCCTCCAATTGCAATTTCGTCCCTCAATTCTTAAGTGCTTTTGAAATTGCTAATAGGTCTCCCACCCCCACCCCACCCCCAAGTTTCTTCAAATTGACCCCTCTTTCCAAGTTGACCTCTCTAATTGCCATTTCAATGATTCGAGGAACTAGTTTCAGAACATGAAAGATTTAACGAACTAATATCAAGAAAAACACTTTCTGGTTTCAGAGTTTGGAGCTATGAATTTTACCTGGTGATCGATAAATATTCTTGGGGGCGTGCACCATGCACCACTGCCTCTGTACTGAAGACCGAGAGAGCTACCACTTATCGCAGTTATGACAGAGCTCATTGGTGAAGAAGCAAGGCTTTGAGGGTCATCGTTCACAGATGGGCCCGGTGGTTCGCTCTGGGTTCTCATTGCAACAACATACTCATACGTAGTGATGCCCTATGAAACAGACGGGAATTATGCATAGAAATAGCATAAAGAGAACAGAGAAATTTGAGGATTTTGAAACCTTTCGGATCAGTATCATGTGGAAAAAGAACAACTCCCCGAGAGGAAAAATAGCCAGAAATGAAAGTGTTGTAAATAGGGCCTGAAAAAGAGAAACATGTCATAAGAAGACTTTTTATGGCACATAAAATTAGTAAAGAGCGAGATAGTATCACAGTAATTGATTACTCTAGCTACCCGTATTTAAATAAACTCATCTCTGATAATGTATCGTTCCAAAACATCAAAACGGAAGTAATTTTTGTGTGCGAGAGAATGGGATTTATCCACCTCATTCATTCTGGGGAAAGTAGGAAAAGAAAGAAATCTCAAATAACATAAATTTTTCTTGAAGTTAATATAAATGAATAATTCCCAACCAATCACATCTCACCGAGAAGCTGGAGAAGAAATGTAAATGCAGTACATCCACAAACCAAATATCTAATAAACTTATTGCTCACATACTTGATTTGACTTTCTAGCCTCACATACATAAGTGAAGCAATTTGATCTGAGCTGTTACCATGTAACATCATATCAATATTAGAAATAAATCATGAAATTAGTCCCTAAGAAAAAATGCACAGTAACAGCCCACTACATATCGATGTAGATAGGTAAAAGATGCAAGAGATTTTCACCTTCCTATTTTACTGCTTTTTGTTTGAGATTTCAGAGTAGCATGGTTAGAAATGACAAGATATCTTTTTAGAAAGTAGTTATTCTTCTCAAATAGCACTGAAGTAGATTAACATAGTGGGTACTAACGAATAAAAAATGTGGTTCACAAATTCAAAATGAAAGAATAATTTTGATCATGCAATGCTCATACATACCACAATGGTAGCAAAAGGAGCTCGAGAGAAACCCTCCCCTAGTCTGTTAGTTATCTGACTTTCAATTGCCCTTTTGTTGGTGAAGCATCGGACAAAGACAGCACTACCAACACCACTTTCAACAGCTAGCTGATAAATAAATCAGTACACAGAAAAATCTGTTACATCACTTGATAACACCAAAAAACAAATACACAATATTAGCTGCTCAGTTATGTTACTTACCCAAGCAATGCTCATGCCCATAAGGAAAATAAATGTGATATAGTTTTTCCTCCCGACGCAATTGTTTAACCACTGCACCAAAAGAGATGGACATTTATTTTCACACAAGCCTTAAAGTCAAAAGAAAATATTCTAATTTAAACTTTGTTGTGTACCCGGCAATGATGATCAAATCCATCTACACATTTGTCACAGTTTCGGCAGTGTTTGCTGAACTTGCGCACCTAGATGTAAAATACACATAACAAACAATAAAATTTTAAAGGTGAAAATGATCCAGCTCTCTCTTTTGGTTTTAATGATAGGTTATATACCCTATTGGATTAGAACATTAAAAATTAAGATTGTGTAACCATAAAAATTTTTAGAGGGAATTAAGAAATAAAATATCACTGGTACCGAGACCAAGTGAAACCATGAAGCACAAAATTGAAGGAATTTCTATAGCATATGATCAGCTTTCCTTATTGTGCAGAACTTTACTGGTCAAAACAAAATAAGAACTACCCACATACTTGCAGTTCCTCATTATAGTTAAACGCTATGGCAGTTCCTCGTTGGTGCATTTGAAAGGAAAACAAAATTCCAGAAATTTTTTTGAAAACTGGAAAAATAATATAGGTATCAGTTTTCATCAAATTACAGACATGCGACTTTTAGAAACAAATCAAAACAACAATGACCTTTTAAGTATTGTCAGAAAGACTCTAAAATAACTTACTAGGAAAAAATCATACTAAGAATTGCAAGTTGATAGCCCATAGAATTTCACACCTCAGCGTTACATAACGTGCAGAATAATGCCTCCTCACTGCCCGCGTGTTGCTCGCCAGTATCATCATCTTTGCGGCAATCTTCTTTTGCAATTAAAGCACAAACAAAACATCCAATTTCTGAACAGGTTACACATTTATGCTTTCTGATTGTTTCTTCAGTCTTCAATCCTATCTTACTGGGCTCTTGTAGAGATATTTCATCCCCTATTTCCCAAACAAGATATCCACAACGGTTATGAGCTACTTATCTTTTTAAGAGGTATTGCGGATTGATCAAGAAAGTAGTGAAGAATACTCTGTGATTTATAACCCGGTAGGCCTTCACAGGTTATCAGGATTCCAGGATCAGCAGGATCAATCGCAGTGCATCTAACATAGAGAATTAAGACAGAAAGTGCCTGGAAGATAATGTATAGTGAATATGTACTGGCCTACATGATAATTAAAAAGTTCAACCATGAACTTATCATGATCATAAATATTTTGACCCAATAAAAGAATAAGCTTACCAAAGTACTATAAACAGCCACAGCCACATATTCATATATATCTTTTCCAAGAAACGGAGCGAAAAATGCATAAAAAGCAATAGACAGCAGGAAGAAGACCGTTATTGCCACCACCTGTGAGTAAAAATGTTCATGGATTAAGGAGTTCAATAATTAACCACATAAATAACTATCAACCCAAAAGAAAACATGTCTCAGAATGAAAGTTCATAAACAAAAGTAACAAAATATTTATGTCAAAAACAGATTATAATCATAGTAGAAGTTTAAAAACATATTATAATTATAGAAGAAGGCTAATAGAAGAAGTTTAAAAAACTACGTAATTTCTTGAGAACTCTGATTTAAAACCATGACTAGACACAAAAGCAGCTAGCTATCAGGAGTAACATCCTGCGAATCATTACATAAATGAAAGGTGAAATTTCTTTCACAGTTATCTGATGGTATCAATTGAAATGAAAGCTAATTGACTTGACATGCTTTTACATTACTTCATCATAGTCAGATGGTTATTTGATGCTTTAAAAACCCACAAGCAACTATAAGTATAAGAGCATTCTAGAACCTAGAATAGAAATTGTCACTTATTAAAGAGTCAATAGTATCTTTAATCCTCCATGTTTATGTTTTTAAATGTTGTGATCTAACTATGAATGAGCATGGTCAGCCAAAAATGATAGAACAACGAAAAAGAAGGACAACTAAATCCGCTGTCGTGTAGCCAAAACCGCCTATAGGAGAGAGTCAACCTCATCTTCTCCATTTTCTTGATAGCAAAATAGCAAATAATGAAGCCTAACTACTAATCTCAATCCTGATCCCAAGAGGGATAACTTATTTCCCGTTATCCAAGATGCTCTCTTGAATGTTAAAACCTTATCTCTCTCACACGAAGGATCTTCTTCCTCCCTCAAGCTTATAGAAGAGCCCCAATGGCTTCTCTCCCTTTTGAGAGTCTCTATTTGTTCCTCGAATGGGATGTTCCTCCTTCCTCGAACCTAGAGGGGCCTATGAAGTATATGGCCAATTCAGTAAGCCATAACATGATTAAGAAAATATCTCCTCAATATGATGGATTCTTAAAGGAGAAACAATACACGCCTATTGTGATTAATAAGTAAACCGAAAATCATTCAAATTAGTTCATTTAGTATTGCTAGTTTGCTACTAGTTGATAACACTCGTTTTCTAGTGTTATGAACATGCCAAAGGCACATTTTATAACTTAACTAGCATATGTTGATGTTATAGATTAATTTCCCTGGTGCTCTTGTTTCTTTATTTGACCAATCTTCATGTACCTAAGTCCTTGAACATACTGTACTGTTCAACATTACAATTTAAACACCCTATGCGTAATTACTTTCCAGGGCATAGAGACTAAATCCAAGAACGTATACTAATCCAATGATAGAGTTTTAAGTCCTTGAAAATGGACAATAAGAAGATAAGAAACAGGCAGGAAAAGGAAAATCAGAGAATGATCAGTGAATAAGAAAAAAGATGATTAGAGGAGGGAAGAAAGTGACTCATCAGTTTGGGAACAGAGATGCATTCTCAATTGATATCGTGTTCAACTTATAAATAATTTAGTTCTCTCTGCCAAAAGGAATAATGACTGACTAAATGGTTTGTGAGATGTCAGATATTTTTGCAGTTTTTTGTTAAAACAAGTAGGTAAACAGAAAAAAAAACAAAGACCAATTAACATCAATATTAAATCCTCAAGCATAATCCAATCAATAATTCCCATGTTCAATTGCACACGAATAAGACCTTCACCCAAAAAACAAACAAATGTTGGGAGTAGTGTTTCTAGATTACAAATAGTAGCAATCACGAAATCAGTCGCCCATAAGGATGCTAGTTTGTATTTTGATGTAAGGTAGATACGAGAATTCAATTCACATCTAAAAGCTAGCTTTTAGAGGGTGGGAATATAAATTCCTTATAAACCCACAATGGATTCCAAATTTGGTCAGTATGAAACTAAATGGACCCTAATATAAATGTGAGGTTGGGTCAGATACCATTTGTAAGAGACTTATGAGAACACTCCTTTAAAAGCTAGTTTGTTAGAGGGAGTGAACCCAAATAACATATAAACCGACAATTGACTCCCTACTATGGCGAAATTCTAGCTAGATTGTCGCGATTCTAGGTCCATAGATTGACATTGTGTATGCTATGTTCATGAGTGACGAATGTATTTGCATAGCATAAAATTAATAGAAAATAATTGAAAGGTAACCCAAAACATAATGAACTATACAGAATTTGGTTCGAGTTAGCCTAATATACATTACCCTTTCCTTCTGAATTATTTTCTTCTTTCTTCACTTATAAACACAAAATAAAAATTAAATACGTCCTTAACAACAAACCCATTACCCAAACAACACCATAATCCATTACCCAAACAACACCATAATCCGCATTACAACACAATCCACCGAAATTCATACCAAAAATGTCAGCACCAGACAAACCCAGATCCAAAAACACACTAAAATATCAAAAAATAAATAAAGTAATAATTTGATTTATACCTGAAAAGAGTGTGCAGGGAGTTGCCAACCATGACGCCTCGCCATGACTATAAACCCAAATGCAGCTCAAAAAAAATCAACAAGCGTTGCACACTGATTTCACCAAAACCCTACTGGGTTTTTGACTTTGATAGAAAAATTCGATCTGGGCCCATAAGATCAAAACTTTTGGCTTTTGGGTCCAAAGGGGTTTGAAGGCGGAGGCAAGTGGAGGAAAGAGATGGAAAGGGTTTTACTGCTAAGAGCCTGAGAGTCGTTTTGTTTTTGTCTCCTTTTCCCTTTTATTATTTCTTTGATTTTATTTTATTTTATTTTTTAAAGGAAGCCGGCTGTGGTGTAAAATTACTGCATTAGCCCTGGGTCTACCTTGTTTTCTCCACCTAATCCTTCAAATATTTTAAATGTTTTTAAATTAATCCTTCTATTTTTGTAGCTATGGGCTAATTTCATAGATCTTAAAAGATTTAGAGGACTAACTTAAAAATATAAAGATTAAAAAAAACTGATTTCAGAACACTTATTAGTATTTGAGGAATAATTTCAAATATCAACAGACTAATTTCCAAAATAGAAAAGGCTATTTTGGAAAGTAATATATATGGAAAAACCCATTGGAAAATTGCCGTGGATTTCCTTCCTATTCATGATATCAATTAGCAATATTTATATATTCAGTAATCATTAAACAGTAGTTTCGGTGATTATAGCCTAGAAGTAGGAACTGAAGATATTTTGTATGGTCTCAACCAAATGTTCCATATTCTACATTTTTTTTATTTTTGAAATTTTTAACATCGTTATTTTTAAAATTAATTTCTCATGTCGGATCATTCTCAACTTGGTGAAGAAAAAATTCATCATTGGCAAAAATAATCCCATAATATAATAGGAAAATAGATTATCAACAAGGTAAAATTATTGCTGAATTTGTAATGGTGGCATCAACTCCTGTAATTATTACATGAATGACGATCAAAACTACTAACTAATAAATATATCACTAAGGGGCTGTTTGGTTGTATGTTTTTACCATCCTTTTACATGGAAAGTGTAAAAAAGTGGGTCCCATTGTCAGTTTTCATCACTTTTAATTGTTTGTTTGTAGTTATGAAAATAGTGTAAAGTGATTTCATATGCTGATGTGGCTTGTAAAGTGATTTCATAAAAAAAAATACATGCTTTTAGGAGAAAGCTGACATTGGAATCAGAAAAAAATAATAAAAAATAATTCCAACCAATATGATCATTTGAGTAGGGACCACTTTTTACACTTTCCAAACAAACAATTAAAGTTTTATTTGCAAAACAAACAAGCAATTTATGATTCCAATGGAATCAAAAACAAACAAAGAAAAGTATAAAAGTAAAATTGATGAGGTGGACAACAACTTTCCAAGTTGTGTCATAAATACACAACTTTACCAACAACAACCAAACAGCCCCTGAGCAACTTTTCTTTGTTTGTTTTTTATTCCATTGGAATCATAAATTGCTTGTTTGATTTGCAAAATGTAACTTTAATTGCTTATTTGGAAAGTATAAAAAGTGCTTATTATGTGGTCCCTACTCAAATAATTTCATTGGCCCTAGCCCCTCACTTTTGACATATATGTTAGCTTTCCTTCAAAACCAGACCATTTTGAAGGGATTTGTGAATCCATATCACCTCAGCATAGTAAATCACTTTACACTATTTTCACAACTGCAAACAAACAATTGAAAAGAAGGAAAGCTGACATTGGGACCCACTTTTTTACACTTTCCATCCTTTTACATAGTAAAAACTAACAACCAAACACCCCCTAAAGACATGAGTAGTTACTTTTTGATGGTAACCCTCTTGATCCAAGTGGCGGTGAAAGAAGTGTGTCTACCTTGTTTTCTCCACCTAATCCTTTTGCGCTCAAGTGCTTGCCTTTACTTGGCAAAATTTTGAAGTCGCCGCTTGCATGATGTTCTAAATTTGTAAGGGTCAAAGATCATCCTTATTTTTAATAAGAAAGTGCTTGCTTTCTTCAAGTGGAATATTGACGAGTAGCGTGCACCTACGATTAGTTTAATAGGGCCCACTAAAATCTAAATCAGTTTTAAGATTATTTTGCAAGGAACATGTTTGCATCATTGCATGCATTACATAATGCGTCCATGCATGGCTCGCATCGTAGGCACATGCGCATGTATGGCGGGGATCACGTCTGATTTAAGAAAACAAATAAAAAAATTTTACTACTCTAGTTTGTTTAGAATTTAGGAGTAAATTTCAGGGTTTCACAAAAAAAAAACGTTTGTGTGTGGGGTGGGGTGGGGTGGGGGTGGGGTTGGAGGTTGGAGGGGCATAACATCCCTTAAATTTATTTATTTCATATAACCCCATGAACTATGGGGTGTCACAAAATCACTCTGAATTTTAGTTTATCCCTGCCTATAATTTGCAAATAACTACAATATCTTTGAGTGAAAAAATTTACCTCTCATTTGCAGGCAACATACTCGTTACCCTAAGTTTTTTCTCTCAAGAAAATTTTATTTATTTACAAATTATATGGAGAGGAGTTAGGTGAGATAAACTGAAGTTCATGGGAGGTTATGTGAAAGAACTCATAGTTCTGGGCAGTTATGCAAGACAAATAAAGCTCACGAGGGTAATGTTCAATGCCCCCAACGTGTAGGTTTTTTTTTGAAATTAACCCTAAATTTTATCAAATTGGAGATTTTGCACAAAATAACTATAAACACTTTGCATCAGAAAAGCAATCCCAAATTTTAAATCAGTATAAACCGCCGACTATTACAAAATACCCATAAATTGTATACGGTGATTTTTTTTTTACCCAATCATGAATTTTCATGCAAAACTCTAAACTAGCATGAATTGTTAAGTTTACCACAAGACTATACATATTTTAGGCTAAATTGTACTTAAATACCCTATAGTTTAGGTCACACTTAAATGTCCTGAGTTGCAAATGTTCGTGCTTTAATACCCTAAAGTTTTGATATGTTGCACATAAGTACCCCATAGTTTTTAAAATGTTGGACATTTAGTGGGCCATTAGGATATTTTTAGAATATTCCCTTTGTGACCTATCACATGATATTATGATACATTTCTATACCCCTAATGTTTATCTAATCGGTTTCATCTAATTTTTACCCTATCCTCACATTGTCTTCTAACTCCCACATTCCTTTGAAAATCCAACTTAATTTGCACAAGCTCGAAAAAACTTTAGAATATTTTAGTGTGAAGTTTTACAATTGTGGGAAGCGATATTTAAGTGCACTTTAGGCGTTTAGCCTATATTTCATGATAGTAGTTGGTTTCCCCCCTCAATATTTTGAAAGTTCATGAAAACTTCTCTTATGTAAACAATTTATGATATTTTTATCCATTGTCTCGGTGGTTGGTTAGTTTAGCCAAACTCTACCTTGTTATTTTAATATGGGCATTGTTACAGGGACCCTTAAAAAAAGGGACCCATATGAGACAGGTGAGGTGTCAGTTGTTGGGTGCGCGATTTACTGTTCATGAACAGTAAATCACGCCCTCAGCAACTGACACCTCACCTGTCCCATAGGGGTCTTTTTTTGGGTCTCTGAGACATTAATCTTTTAATATGCGTCACTCATTGCGTCTTTAATTATTATATGAGAATAACGAGTACCATATGAGTACGAAAATGATTCTCTCATATATAGCATACTACTGAATTTCGGGTAAGTGCATAAAGAGGATTCTTCTTTACTACTTGACTTAATCACAACAAGATTATCTCTTTATATGTCATATGATATGGGAACTGCCAAATGCTTTAAAATAAAATAAAATAAAACAGAACAAAATTTCACAGTGTTAGTCAAGTAGAATTCTAACAAAACTAGAATTGGGATAATGGTACAAAATTATCCCACTTTTTTATTTTTCTATACAAAAATAAGAGTTCTAGTCTCTCAAATTATTTCAAGTTTTAGCTTGGAACTAGGTGGTAAAAAACTAGAAATCATATTTATTTTGTTATTTTTTATATTTCTTTTTTTCTTTACTTCTTACCTATTATGGTTATCACCATCATTATAATAATAATTGTCAATATCTTACAGTCTAACCAAAAGTTATTTAATAGTAAAGAATATTCTTGTAAGCAATTATCAATTAATAATAGTAAGTTTAAAATACATAAATAACATTTATATCTTCAAAATACATAAATATATATTTCATGATTATAAAACTTTATCCCATGTTATTTATCAAAATATCCCGCTTCACAAAATTGTTCCTATTTATCCCACTAGTAAAAATTATTCTACTTTAATAATTATCTCATTTTGCATGAAAATGTCCAAATTGACTAACAACCCTAAACGCTAAAAGAAGTGCCCTTAAGGCAAAAAAAGAGTTATAATTGAAGTAGACTTGGGGACCCAGTAGCAACGATATGCATGATTTGACGATTAATCTCGAAATATGAAAGATTAAGGGACTAGTTCCAAAATAAAACAAAAGCAAACGTAAAATTAAATAAATCTGAAGCCAAGCCATAGGCTCTTCATTATTTGGGTGGTGGTGGGGGGGGGGGCCCGCGGGGTGGGCGCGGGGGGGGGTCGGGGGGGGCGAGCCCGAGGGCGGGCGGGGGATGGGCATGGGTACGGGTGGGGGCCGTGGGATCAAGCTTAAGCGGTTCGAGCCGGGGCAGCCGGCGGAAGGTGGGGACATCGTAAGCTGTGAGAGTCGTCCGCCGTCGATATCCAGTCCACGTGGTACGTCGGGTCACACATTGGTTCTTCCTAAAAAAAAATTATTGGTGGGGGAAAACAATCTATTCGGTGATCGACGACCCAGGCCAGAAAACCCATTTTTTTAATGCCGGGTGGGGGGGCTGGGGGGGGGGGGATAGTTTCCTTTCAATGAGCAACGAATTAAAATAGAATGTCGACGGGCAACGGTGGCGGGCTGGCGCGGGAGGGGGAGGGCGCGATGATGTTTCCAATGCGAGTTTTGTGTTCTAATATACCATTTATTTTAATTCCTCACCGACTGTAATTGTTAATCTGCTAGCTTATTCTTTTAAGTTTGTGTTCTAAGGTCTTGGGTTCAATTTCAGGCTGTGTTATTCAAAAAAAAAAAAGTTAATGTGCGTGTTTTTGTTTTCAGATGACAAAAAAAAAAAGTTAACCTTTTACGGTCTTGGGTTCTAATATAACCTTTCACCATGTCAAGCAACAATCGAAACGC